GTGCAGCAGACAGACAGTATCACAGTGTTACCGTGCAGTAGACAGTATCACAGTGTTACAGTGCAGACAAACAGACAGTATCACAGTGTTACAGTGCAGCAGACAGACAGTATCACAGTGTTACAGTGCAGCAGACAGTATCACATTGCTCCAGTGCAGCAGACGGACAGTTTCACAGTGTTACAGTACAGACAAACAGACAGTATCACAGTGTTACAGTGCAGTAGACAGTATCACAGTGCTCCAGTGCAGCAGACGGACAGTTTCACAATGTTACAGTACAGCAGACAGACAGTATCACAGTGCTCCAGTGCAGCAGACAGACAGTTTCACAGTGTTACACTGCAGTAGACAAACAGTTGTAAGGTGGGCTGTACTCACTAGGGGGGGGTCCTGGCAGTGTTGGAGGAGAAGTGACATCTGCAGTCCTCTGTCCAGTGACTGTGGAAAAACCAATGACTGAGTAGGTTATATCTTCTGCCATAGTCCGTAAGTCTAAAAAGTCTCTGCTTCTTTTTCTGGTTTTCTTTCCTCAGATTTTCAACCCAGTCTTTGCATAGGTTCCTCTCTCCGTTTGGTGAACTCGTAATGTCTGTCTCGGTCTATCTGTCTGCCCGTCTCTAGCTTTTTGCCTTTTGCTTATCTACAGTGACGTATTGAAAGAGAGAAAAAGGTGGAGAAAAGCAGAGAGAGGGAGGAGTTTTCTGAGTTTCAGTACTTTGTGTCCAGTTGTTTAGTGTCTCTTTATTGCTCTTATATCTGACATAATTAAGTGTCTCTTTATTATATTGATGTGAGTGTCCAGCTGGTCCACTGACAGAGATGCTATCCTGTTGCACTGGCTTCTGGTCCATGGCAGTGTCCTACTTTGAGCCCAGCCAACTTGTCTTTAGCAACTGGGAAGACTAACCACAAGGACAATATACACTCCTGCCTGAAATCAAACCCAGAACACAGGAGTTGTGTCGCAAAAGCTCTGCAATTTCTCTGATGCACTTTTAACTGGTATAATGATGCACTGATATACTGGTACAGTAACACACTGATACTTTGTTATGCTGGTGGAATAATACACTGATATACTGGTACAGTAACACTGAAGCACTGTTATACTGGTGCAATGATGCACTGATATACTGGTACACTAACTGAACTGGTGTTCAGATGCATCGATACCCTAACGTGCTGGATCACCAAATCAGCACATATCCGATACTCTACACTGTCCCACCGACACAGTAAAATGCTGTTATATGTAAGCAAAGTTCTAACCTTCTCATCTTACTCATTAAGATCATACAGGCTTGCATCTCCTTCCCAGAGAGCCCTTTCTGGTTATGATGAGAGACCTACTGCTGCTTCCACTTCATTTCCAAATTCAGCAGTGAGAGTCCAGCAGGAAGCAAGTGAGAAGATTCACATCTTCTTGATGAAGGCAGAGAAACCTCTTGAGTGCCATGCAGTGTTTATTAGATTGACTCACACAGTAAGCCATTTGGTGGACTTATCAGTTTGGTTGGCAATTTTGGCCTTTTGTGGTGTTAGCCCACTGATGGAAATATCATCAATAAAAGTGAAAGGTACTGTAAAGTGAGGAGCATGTAATAGACAGGCTTCAGGGCCTCTACTTGTGCAGCACCTAATGTTAGTTTTGATCTTGGTAGCTGGGTAAGATCCTACTGAATCCCCATAGAGGGATGATGTGAGTGTGATTCTCCTAGCAGAGGGAATGACAGTGGAGTAGTGCAAATAATAATAATAATAATTCTTACACTTATAAAGCGCTTTTCTGGACACTCCACTCAAAGCGCTTTACAGGTAATGGGAACTCCCCTCCACCACCACCAATGTGCAGCATCCATATATCCAATATACTCATCCAATATGGACCAATCCATATATCCAATATACTCATCCAATATGCACCAATGTGCAGCATCCATATATCCAATATACGCATCCAATATACTGCACGAACCCCCTCACTATTGTAAGGACTGAGCCAGGGAGCTGCGAGAAGAGTGAAGATGGGGATGTGAGATCGACGCAAAAGAGATACAGGAGGGAAGTCCTGGGTGGAAGACTTATACATACTGTATGCAGGCCAGAATTTAACCTTCCTCTCGAACTTCTGCCACAAACTCACAGAACAAGATACAGTAGCAGTCTGTTCCTACAGCATGTTTTCCATCTGAGAAATGCAGATGCTATCCTGCAGTAGAAGGGATTGAGGCTGCTTCCATACTAAAATACTAGAGAGCTGTAACATAACAGCCATATAACATATATTTATCATTACAGATGTCAAGCTCTTTGAAGAGACTTTTCCACTTGGTGAGCTCTCCCCCAGCTCTTGAATGAAGCTCCTCTAAGGCTGGTCTGCGCCCTGAGCAAATGCAAAAGAGTTTTAAATGCTCAGTGATCAGCATTACAGGCAGCCCATCTGAGACCAGGAAGTCACATGATCTCATCAGAACTCTCAGGCTGAAGGAGAGTTTTGCCTGTCCATCACACCCCCAGAGTTGGGTCTCAGTTCAAACCTACACCAGCTCACCCAGTCAATGAGTTGAAAAGAAGCACAACGAAGACTCCACAGCTGAAACGTTTCTTTTCTTCCCTTTTCACCAGGGAATACACCTTTACTTGTTCCTTTGCAGCCTATGCATGCTGACGCAGCTCCCTACTTGAATATTTGTTCTATCTGTCCATGCATGTGGTTTTCTATTTCCCCAAGACATCACCGGCCAGTCATATACACTGTTGAGAGTTTTCAGATGAGAGAATCTTATATTAATTTTGTCCTTTTGCTCGGAGGCATGTACTAAAGCCACATCTGAGATGTGTGCTTTTTAGAGAGGCACCTGTAAATTCTCACTAACTGGTAGAAAAGTCAGAGGTTCATGTGTGCACAGAGCAGATGGCAGAGTCTTTGAACAGGTGCAGAAAACTAAATACTCAGTCTGGGGTGGGACATTTTTTTTCGATGTGTAAAAAGAACGTGAGGTTCTCATGCAGTTACAAAGCCTCAGAGCTGAGGAGCCGGGACATGGAGTTTTCCTGTTACACTAACACCTCTGCGGCCCACGCCTGCTGTGTTTAACAGCATGGCGACTGGAGTTGTAAAAGAATACTGCCCATTTCCAATCACCATTCTCTCAGTTACACAGGTACAGAGAACAACTGGCAACAGCTCTTTCCGAAACACTGCATGCTCTCTGCTTGTATCTTTACTGATTTTTACAGAAACACATTACTTGGGTGGAAGTTTCATCAGACTATTATAACCACAACAGTATGAAGAATATAAGGGGAATCCTGTTTGCCTCCAGGCCATAAGAGGGCGCTGTGGAAATCTAAGGACATCATTCAAGTCAGAAGCATTACTGCCATGGATTGTGTGAGACAATGGAGTAGGGTAAGCATGCATTTTTATTGCAACTTTTTATTGTACACAGGTTACTGAAATTGTGTTTAAGGTGGATCCACATAGTTCCCCATGCACTGGTTTGATCTGATTGACGGGAAAGCTATAAAACACCTGCGCAATGATGCAGTCCAGTCCAGCTGTTGTTACTGCTCGGTGGTGTAAGCTTTCTAAAGATTTACTTGAGATGTGGAGAAGAATACAAACTGTGTTCTCTTCAAACGCACTCTAGTCGGCCATTAAAAGACCACACAACAATTTCGAAGCATTTTTCAACTTTACGAAGCTGTTACCAAAGCAGTCAGTTGTTTGCAGATGGTTGGCTCTTTTAATATCACTGAGTTCCACACATTTCAGCAGACAGTGGTGCCAAGTCTTCCGCAGAATGTGTTTTTAAATGACCAACACTGCTTTTTTTCTTCTCCTTCTTCTCCTTATTAGTAACTGAGACAACTATTGCAAACATATTGTAAATCAGTGTAATATTTTTGTGGTGTCTATTGTGAAATTTGTTTAACACCTTGCAATGTAATCTGTAGAAGTGGCATGATTTTAAAGTGAAGCAGAGAGGCAGGGTCTCTGGTATCCTCTGTAGCAGTGCTGCAGGCTGGTGGGTGGCTGGTATCGGCAGTGCTGCAGGCTGGCTGGTATGTCTGCAATGAACTGAAGTGTGTGCGTGTGTGCGTGCATGCATGCATGCGTGTGTGTGTAGAGGGAGATCTTTCTGGTGGATGGAAGAACAGGCAGTCAGAAGTCACTAGGAATCCCTGTGTGTGGGGGCAGGTTTCATATCCAAATGGGACAAGACCCCATCGGACACTAACTCTGCGGACACAAAGCTAGAGGGCTCTTGTCTGAAGCCTGCAAGTGCCCCAGTATTTATAGGCCCTGTTTGGAGCCTTGTGGTAAAAGCACACAGAAAGCCGGCCAGTGGAAAGTCCCCACTCAGCACAACAAGGGCTGCAGGGCTGCTGGGCTGCTGGGCTGCTGTCAGCTCCTGGCTGGCCAAGGCAGAGAGAAAACCACAAATCACCACCCCCACCCCAGCAGTAGTGTAGCAGCCTCTCTTGTGGTGTTTGAATTATAGTTTTGAGACAGCTGTTCCAAGATCAGCCGTTCTGCCTTTCAATTCTTCTATTCAGTATTTGTTAATACTGAAACGTTTTGACTTTGCTGAGCGTGTTCAACACCCCCCTTTTTGACGTGCTGTTCTACCTTTGATTGCTCTCATAGAAGGTGTAACTGTTGCTGTGTCGACTCTTGCACTGTCTGAGCAGGTGGGTGTGGTCTATAGTGATGCAAGGAAGTGTCTCTTTTAACAGAAGACACCCTGATAGGGCTCGCACCAGTATAATGTTCGGGTTTGTTCTGACTGTAGATCTGTCTTCCTTATGGAATAAAGCCTTTGGACATCAGCATGTTGAGAGCAAGCAGACCAGGGCGCTTTCTGACCTGTGATGGATGTTACAGTGGCCAGGAAGGTGGGACAAGAGGAGAGTAGAAGAAACTGGGCGAACATGCCAGAGGAGGAGATCGAGGAATTGGAGGAGAAGGACAGGGTCTGGAGGAGAAGGAGAAGGAGCTGGAGGAATAGGACAAGGAGCTGGAGAAGAACAAGGAGCTGTGGGAGAAAAAAAAGGAGCTGAACAAGATAAAAGCTGAACTGTAGGTGAAGAACAAAGAGCTGTAGAGGCTTGAGAATTTAACAGAGGGCAGAGAGAATGAACTGGAGGAGAAACGGAGCTGACTACGTGGAACCCTCCTCTGGAGAAAGACATATGTATGTAATTGTACAGGAGGGAGGCTCAAACCTGTACAGAGCTCCCTCATGGCCTTTCTGAATGCTCATGTTCAACCACTCCCATGTTCGTGTTGTGTCAAAGTACTGTACTATCGTGTCTCTGGAGCATGAACACACCATGTTGTGCTGTAGTGAGCATGTCTGAGAAATATTTGTCGTAGGATATTTCTGTATTCTGACGGTCCCCCCAGCACAGTAAAGCACAGTGAAGGTCTCTGTAGCAGAACAGACGAGCTGGGACTATGGTAATGGGGTTCAACCACCGGAGGACAGCATTGCAATGGTCCTGGGAATACAGGCCATGCATTCCCAAGAAGGAATTTGGGAATTGGCTACACCTGGGGATGCTCCCTACAAAAGCACTTAGGACAGAGAAAGAGGTGATCTGAGGAGACACTTACAAGACTACTAACAGATCTCAGGTTGAGATTCTTAAAAACTATTTGTTGACAACTTAAATTCAGTCTTCGGGGAGAGTAGTGTTATCAGGAAGCATCCTCAGTTCTTTCTGTGTCGGCTCACCGGTAAGGAAGAAGACTGGGAAGATTGAGGCCGACCACACAGAAATGACCAGGTGAGGATCTTCCACTTCTACAGGGGTGAAAACAGGGAGTTATATGGGTGGGAGCAGGACAGTCAGTGAGCAGGCAAGGGAGAGACCTCAGGGTGGTGCCCTGGACCACTTAATCTCCCTCACCCTTGGGTGGAACTCAAATGCAGGAACCCCCTGCTGTGGTACCAGCTAAGGATGACCTGTCGCAATTGCCTAAAGCAATAGGCAAGCGCAGCAAACCGATCAAGTCCAAAAATACTATGGGAAGTTCAACAAAGTGGATATTGCAACATTGATTTCCTGACACTCAGTATTAATGCAGGGGGGGATTTTCTATGTCTCAGCATCACTGCATTTCCTGGAAAATCAGATCTGACGATGTCATGTGGATTTTAAATATTTTTTGGAAGGTATTGATTTAGAGGCACTAACACACAAGAATCAGATACTTCTACAAAACCTATACAATCCTCGAAGCTAAAAGGGCCAACAAATGCATAAAGTTAATAGACTTTCAGTCAACACATTTTAAGATAAAACAATGTATTTGGACCTGAACAGGGAGTTTTGAGTCTGTGTTTCTCTACAGGAGGTCCTGAAAGGGTCCTGCTGGATCATTATTACTGATTTGACCTGAGCAGGAAGGACACAGGCTGTGGGTGGAGCTGGGTTAATGGCAGAAGACTGAGCGAGGAAAAGTGTGTTGTGTGTGTCCACAGAGAGAGGGGTGTTGAACTGCCCATACTGGTCCAGTGACTCTCCTCCTCTTGCACCAAAAGCAGGAAACTATACCTATGGGCATGAGAAGGGACCACAGACTACTGGGTATCCCCATAACTGTGAGGGTTGTTTCCCATCTGTGGATGGCGTCGTGGGCTCGCTTGATGGCCTCGCCAGGCAGGGAGAACACGAGGGAATGTGTCTCCAGGGGTCCGAATGCGCATACGAGAGGGCGGGGGAGGGAGTGGAAGCGAGTGGGGTGTGCGATGGAGGAGGAGGGTGGGGAGTGAATGAGTGAGAATCAGCCCAGTATGTGATCTCCTGTCACAGCCTGAGGAACAGTGAGTC